ATCTGTATTGCACTTTTAATGTTTATCTTAAGAAAAAAAATGGAAGCATAATTTTCCTATCCTTTGTTACAAATGAGTTTTTATTTCACCCGTCCAACAGACGAGGACTCCAGCTAGTACTATACGAGTTTCAGTTGCTTAGTTTTAAAATGAAATACTTAAATAAATTCTCCGTCTTCATTCCTCCTTAACATGTGATGCTTTTTCACTCCAAATTGCCCAATTTACTTTCTATCTATCCTTATATGATTTTTTGAAAGTGCTGTCAATTACATTATATATAATGCTAAGCCATAATTTAAATTTATAGCCTCCAACCTTCTTGCTTTACTGAGATATAAACAAGGAAGTCAAACCCACATACCATGCCCCTATTATCTTAACCTGTCTTTCAAAAAATGTCAATATTTTTCTCTGACACTTCATTATTTACAATCAACAGAAATAGACTGTTTTTCACAGGATTCGTTTGGAAGCTAGTTTAATTAGGTAAGAAATACTTAGCTTCAGTTTCATTGTCTGTTTTTGTGGGGCTAGACTAATGGAATTTTTTAAATCTAATAATATTCTGGACCACCAACATTGTTACAAAAATGTATGCCTACAGTGCTTTGTCAGTTGATGGCAAAAGGTCTGAAGTCCACATACAAGTAATAAATTTCTTGTTTTTAAGCATAAGTTTCACTTATTGTTATAAAGTAACTAAAATGTAAAAATCAGAAACTTATTAGGCTAGTTAAGAAAACTTAAATAATAAAAAATTTAATAAAATTTCTTATGATATTCAATATCCTAATAACAAGTACATTGCATGACCTGATTGTAATTTGATTATAGGGTACTTATAAGTTGATAGTTTGTTTACCCAAAGATGTCTGGTTATAATAAATGGCTTTTGGCATACTCTGAAAGGACCCAAGTGCAGATGTAAAGCAATAAAACTGTAATGTTTTAAACAGTCCGTAAGAATAAACAGTGTGTAACATAGTCATTTTAGAAAGAAAAAAGGGTATTTGGATTAATTTCTTATTTTTAAACTTTACATTAATCCTACATTGCTCTAATTGTCCATTACAATATGCAGTCATTCTAGAAAAAAAAGGGTAAGTTAGATTTATTTTGTATTTTTAAACTTTTCATTTTACCCTACTTTGCTGATTTCACTACAGTTAGTGTTAGGATAAAGAAAATGAGATAAAATATAACATTTTACTGAAGAAAATATTGATATTCATTTAAGAGGTTATGCAAAATGAAATATGAAAACTGTAAGGTGAAAATAGTATTTTTTATTCTTACATGAAAATCATTTTTGATTCAGATTAGTCAGAGTCTAAGTCAGACTGTCTCAAAAAAAATTCACAGACAAATTTTTAGTAAAAATACTTTATTAAAACATCTGATTTTTTCTTTGACAGATTTGCAATTTTTACTAAAAGCCTGTCAAATTTCATGAATATACACTCAGTATATACAGAGTTACAGTATGTATAGTTTCATGGTTACAAGGTTGATCAAAATAAACAAACTCGTGCTCATAGATTTAAAAGGAAAAATCCAATTTAAAATAACTTGAATCAGAGTTCTAAATGAAATGTTTAAAATTTGGTATCTTTTTTTTCATATAATCAAGAAGATAAAGGGAATTAATGGCAAAGAAAGTTTAAAACAATAAGCACAAAAATTATGTAATTCTTCAGAGAAAACAAGATTGAACAAAGCAGTGTGGAGGAAAGAACGAGCCTTTGTTGAAACACTAGTGCTCATGGAGTTTACTGCACCTGAGGAATGTGTCACCCTCCTATTAATGGAGAGCTTTAGTCTAATGATAATATAGTTTGACACAGATTATGTTAATTCCTGTTGGGGTGGAAGTTATGTTCAAGGCTTAAGCATGCAAAAAATCTTCTTGACAGTGACACAAGGTAATAGGTCTTAGTTCTGTGGATAGGTGAGTAGTGTTTCTGAATTTGTACTTTTTTTATGCATTTTGATCTATATCAAGGATCTTATGCTGTTTTGTACCTGAATATGATTTACTTTTACTCAGGCCTTATTTTGTTGTGTATTTCTTTTTCTTGTTTTGATTGGTTTTGTGTAAAGGGGCTATTTTATGTTTAATATGTCATTAAATTTTGATTTATACTCTTTTGTATTTTGAAGTTGTATTCTTTGTTTTACTTGTGTTTTGTTGTATGTTTTGCAAGAATGAGTTACATTGCTTTTTCTTTTAATAATGCATGAATTTATTTAACTGGATTTAAATTTTAAAGTTAATGATGATTGGATAGTTTGAAGATAAACGGGGGAGGGGGGGGGAAAGTAGGGTATGCATGAATACTGTGTGTGTTTTTTTACCCCCTTGTTTAACACAAAATGTTTCAAAGTTTTCATACATGGAAGTGTATGTGGTTGCACATACTTTTGCTTTAGCTACCTGTTATCCTAGGTCATTCACAGCTGGTACAACATGCACTTTTTTGTGGAAAATATTTCTGTTAGGTAAGGCCATAAAAATGTAACCTCCCATATTTTTTCATGAGAATGACCAAGTCACTTGGGTAGCATGTGTGAGAAGAATAGCATTATTGACTCGTGTATGTAATTCTATGTTTTCTCAGTTAGGTACAGATCCACTTACAGTTCTTAGAGTTCCTTAAGATTCTATCAATTCTTACAGGTAAACCTCTAGTAAAGCCATCATCTATTGTGCACTCATCTTGACCTTAACTGTCTTTGTGCATTGAATAAAGTTTGTTTCATTTTCTTACACAATGAGTCCAGTCTCTTTTATTATTCAAATGCAGTCAGTCAGGGAATTCAGGTTTGCTCCATAATAAATTTCTGGTAAAACTTCCTATTATTTTGTGGAACCTACCCAGTTACTTTTAGGGGAAGTAAGTGCTTCTGAGAATACCAAACCTTTAAGTTGCCAACAGAATGGACAACACCAAGCTGGATTAGAAAGTGACATGCTCACAGCAAAAATGCTACCAATATTTATGAAATTTCTAATATATTCTTATATTTTTACTTTACTAAGCTAACATTTTGTGAACTTTATTTAGAAGCAACAGAACAAATTGAATTGTGTATCAAACTAATAAGATATTTTTTCTTAGCACAGAAACTCATCACATGGATTAAGGGTCAAATATAAACATAAATCAATAAGAGCAGGAGAAAGATAGAACTTAAATATTAAGTAAGCAGTCACTGAAGTTCACATGACATAGGCTATAAAACTAATCTCAGTTAATGAAAAAGTTAATTTTTTCTAAGACCTTTTTAACTGTAATTAATTATAAAAATAGAGATGTACACAGAAAAACATTAAAAACATTAGCATAAAAGCCCATTAAAAATGACAGGAAATCATTGTTGAATGAATAACGAAAATTATAGAATTTAACTAAAATGAATTTGTCTGTATCTCCAAAATGCACCTACTCTTCACTTATTTCATCAGTCTCGAAGTAATTCTTTAATCACCACATTTTTAGTAAAAACTACACAGAAAAATGAAATGTTATTGTGAACAAAAATACTGTGTACTCTGAAAGAGACTTAAATATCACTCTTGAGCCTTTTCCTGTATTGTAGGTCAGGAAGTAGAAAACATTGTGCAGACATTCCAACACAAATTTTCAACTCTTTCGACTGTACAAAGGATAAAAGATACTTGGTAGTAATAAATGTTTATTTTTCTTTATGCTTTAAGGCCAAGTAGGTAATACGTGTGTTAAAATACCAAAATAATATTTATTAATTAACATTTATTCACCACTTAAAACATTTTAAACACTGACTCTATAAAGTTAGTAATAGAAGGCCTATTTGTAGTCAAATTTAAGCATTAGGCTTAATACATAAATGTAATGTAAGGCTTAGCTGAAACACTACTTGGTAAATTTTATTTTGCTTTTGGCTATAACTTAATGTCATAAAACTTCTGAATTAAACTATTTTGCTGTTATATCACTGAAGTTATAAATAATAAATAATAAAAAAACCTTTCTAACAAAGCAACTCATATATTGAGCATTCAATATAAACACCATAGTTGGTGTAAGAACAATCAGGTGATAGTTCTGTTGCTAAGCAACGATGTATATTGTTGAGCATTACCAAAAAAGGAGCATGAAAGCATTTTCGATAGAGTGACAAAGGAAATAAGCCTTTTATAGTTAGTGATTTTCTTCAGGACTCAAAACTAAAGTTGTTTAAAATTAAGGACTCAGAACTTCAAATGATAGAAAAATCTAAGAATATTTTTTATAAGCATGTCAGAAAAGAAACCCCAATAAATGGAATGCTTTGGGAAAGTTAGGGTAAATGGCTTCATAAGTACATGTATTACCATGCTCAAAATAGCTCTAGAATGTAACATACTGAATAATCAGTGGATTATGATCTTCGGCAAGAAATATTTGATCAGGCTAAAGGACTAAAGTTAGATGATATTTGTACCAAAAAGAGGCTCTTATAATGCTTTGTTGTTTAATATAAATTGTCTTAGACAACGTTTTTGAGAGAAAAACATTTTAATTTTGCCATGCACCATACAGCTGGCAACAAAAAAAAAGTTAAAAAATGTAAAATACTGAGTTATAATTTCATTTTTTACATAATTAACACTATAGGCATAACACAATCTATTTTTACAATAGATTACAAAACCTCTCAATAGCATTAGAACTTTTATTTGATCCAGTACATTAAGGTGTAATTTTTCTAGATAAATCTTTAAAGGCACATTGGTAAAGTTAGGCCATAGCTTTGACATGTAAGTGGCAAAAATTTAATCATATTAGTTACACTAAAATCTGAATTCTGGGAGACAGTTATAGATTCCTGTTCCTGTTCTATTGATACGATATTCTGAGAAACAGAGTTATTTGAGCCTACATGTGTTTGTTAACTGGATATTATTACTAACTAATAGAATATTCCAAAATATTGTTATCTTTATAAAAAAAAAATTTTTAAACATACAATACCTTTGGGTTGGGATCCAAGTACTTTGTATCTGTTATGCTGTTGACGAAAGGTTAAAGCCAGGGTTTTTCTTGTTACTCTTTTGGACAGGCTCAGATTTTGTTCATAACCATCTTCAAAAATTGTTGAAGATGGTGTAGGCAGCAAACTTGCTATCTTCTTTGCCATCAACAATTCTGTAGGTTCAAACAATGTCTTAAAATCAACATTTTGGGCATTTGAGGGGGGGAGTATGTCTGGTTATGGAAAATTGTAAACCAGAAGATTATGAATCAATACAAAAATTAAACTATCAAATGCCTAAGTTGCTATTCAAGTTTTTCAACATGTTTCTTTCTACTGACTAATTTCAGTTGAACTTTTTAACATAGATTATTCACTCACCAATCTTTTCATTTTAGAGAAAATGTATTCTTAATAGAATAAGTAACAAGTTTCAGTTTCTTATAGTTGGCTGAAGAGGACATTTCAAACTGCTAGGATATATCCTCTTCAAGATGATACCTGTTATATTCTTTTAAAATGGATCATAATCTATCTAAAACTTGTTCAAAACATTGTGATTCAGATGTATGTATGTATCCGTCGATCTTTATGGATAAAATGGTAAATAAAAGAAGAAAAACTCCAGGTTGCTTTCCTTTAAAAATACTAGTATCTCTTTTGCAGTCTGTACACTTATTATGGTCTGTTTATTTATCAGATGTGGTGATGTCTGATAATGCTCATGATATTCAAAGCCCTTGTGTTCTATATTATGGGAGAGTTGCATGTGATATAGTGTGATGAAAGTTCAATCATTCTTGTTACTTCTTGCAATACTGTAATATTACTAAAAACTTCAGATTAAAGTTTAGTGTAATTTCACAATCAATATTAAGAACAAATTTCATATTAAAATAAGATCTAAACAATATATTTAAAAAATAGCACGACCTTAACAGTATACATTATAGTCATTAATAATTAAGTTGAATACACTTTTATCTCATCTTCATTACAATGGTTCACTTCATTTCAAATCTTGTACTGCAAAACACCTACAAAACTTAATATTCCACTCCACAGCTATGACTTCTCTTTTGTTATCTGAAGCTTTAGTCTCTCTGAGCAATACTGACTAACAAATCAAAATGAACTGTTTCCAGATATAAAATATTTAGTGTTTTTGTCTTACCTGATTTGTATGTTGTGCTCATTGTACACTTACATAGCAAGTAAATGGTATATACATTATAATATAAAATCAAACAATAAAAATTAGAAAATATCTGTAATAAAGCTTTGTTGCTGCAATAACACAAAGAAACACAGTGATTCAAAATGCTAAGCTAACAAAAAATAAAGGCATGATAGGCAACAACGTGTGATAAAGCAACACAGGGAAATGAGTTTTATGTTTGTATTTCACATATGGTATGAGTCTACTACATATGTCATTTGCTTAGTATCTCTGGTTATCAATCAGCTGTTCTACATCAATACTAAATCCACTTACAAGTAGTTTTGAGAATTCTTTTTAATGTACAAGTTAGCTATATTTACAAAATATTTGATGTTTAAACTTGACTGTATGATGGAATGTGTTTTTCAAAAAGCTATAAATCTTTTCACTGAAATATGGAAATACAGTTAGCCGTGAACCAATTGATTGCTAGAAACCACAATAAATGTTTGTTTTAACTAGCAAAATATTTTGTTTCATTGAAACATTTACTCTAATGATATTGTTGCG